GTGTGTGTGTGTGTGTGTGTGTGCATGCGTGTGTATGTGTATGTGCTTGTGTGTCTGTAAATCTGTGTGTGTACATGTGTGTGTATGTATGTGTATGTGTTTGTGTGTCTGTAAGTCTGTGTGTGTGTATGTGTGTGTGTACATGTGTGTGCGTACATGTATGTGTATGAATATGTTTGTGTTTGTGTTCGTATGTGTGTGTACCTGAATGTTTATGTATGTGTATGTGTTTGTGTGTCTGTAAGTCTTTGTGTGTATGTGAGTGTGCGTGTGTGTAAGTCTGTGTGCGTGAATGAGTGAGTGTGTATGTCTGTATGTGTTTTTGTGTCTGATAGTCTGTGTGTGTGTACATGTGTATGTGTGTGTGTACATGTGTGTATACATGTGTATGTGTACATGTGTGTGTGTGTGTATGTGTGTGTGTGTGTGTGTGTGTGTTTGTGTGTCTGTAAGTCTGTGTGTGTCAGTGTGTACCTGTGTGTGTGTAAGAATATTATGTATCGCATGCAACCACTGAGCCGTACCCTAACGCACGAACGGGCCGGCGATCAGGTAGACAATTTTCCTCATTCCCTGACACATGTGTTTGGCAAACCGCCTGGCCTCTTCCACCTTTATCCGGCTGGACATATGGCCATGGTCGTGATGGCCTGGTGATGTTGATAATTTTCGCTTTGACCCTTCCGGCGACCTGGTCTTTAGCGGTCAGCGTAAACAATGACCGCTGGGGTACATGGTGGTGTCGGTTGTTCGAATGTTAGAGTTAGAGAAAGGAACGTGGAGAGAGGGTTTAGGGTGGGTCAGGTGGAATTGATGGGGGGAAGGGGGCCACAGACAAATAATGAAGAGTGAAAGGGGAATTAGACAAAGGGACAAGAGGCAAAGAAAGTTTTATTGAGAAGGAACTGCTGAGGGCAGAAGAAGGAAAAGTCCCAGCACGTGAGATATGTATTTACTAATGTCCAGTCTTGTAGTAATAATGACCTGTCTTGTTGTGAGTGTATGCGTGAGTGCACCTAACCGTTGAAACGTCTTCTGCCATCGTTAACAAACGAGACAAATTTCTGCCTGCGAGATGAATAAAGATTGTCATTGTCATTGTCAATGGATGGCGGGAGAAATTTCTCATGCTCCCTGATAACAAACTTGTGGGAGAGAAACTGTGAAAATAGATAGATAGATGGATGGATGGATGGATAAATGGAAGGGTGGGCGGGAGGGTGGATGAATGGATGGATGGATGAATGGATGGATGGATGAGAAGGGACAGAAAAAGAGGATAGAGAACATTGTATTATTACAAGCAAAGAATTAAGTAATGAGAGCGTAAGATAATAGATGGTATCGATTATAGCAAAATAAAAATAAAGATACTAAAAACATTTCATGCAAGCTGCTAAAACCAGGCTTCAGCTAAAATCAATACTGATCTCAGCCTGCGATACATTGGTAGACGGACGTTTTCTTCAAGACTAAGTTTTAACCCTACCCTACCTCGTGTTTTACTATCGTATCAATACGACGTGGGGAACTCTGAGCCACCACTTTCCAAATAGGAAATTTACTCGTAAATCCGATCCGTACGCTTTGCATAGCAGTCTGTCAAAATGATTTTTTTTAAAAAATACTGAAAGTTTCAAAGACGGCTTCGTACTAGAAGTATTCAACAATGTGAAGAATACAACCCGGGGGTACACAATGATCCCGGGGCGTACGGATAGGGTTAAAAACGACGCAGTGTCTATGTTTCTTTTTTTGTTGTGCGTCGTCTAGACCACTTGCTTCATTTTCTGGGGTCTTAGGTCTTAACTCCAGTGAACCTCAAGGGAGTTTTTTAAAAAGACTTTTATGTGGAACCCTGTCTGTCATAAACACAGTGTACGGTATAAGTATTGTAAACGCACTGTACAGTATAGATATTGTGGCCACACATTACAGGACCGACAGTGTCATTAGTTGGAAAGTGATAGAAAACGTAGATTTGGATTACCGCGTGGTATCTTTGCTTTTGTTTCACGTGATATAATATGTCAAGCGAAGAAGTTCGGTTTGTTTTTAGTTTTATTTGTTGGAAGAAATCTGTCAAAAACTGCACTTTAAAAAAAAAGTCTGTGTCATATAGTTGCCGCAGTGTTTTGGAATCGAATTGTCAAATTGGATTTTTTTTTCTCTCTTAAAAAAAGATGTAGGCTATTCAGTAGTGTCGTAATTGTTTGTAAAATATTGGTATTGGATTTCTGTCGCAATTGTGCAGTCTAGTAAAATGTTGCTAATGATTGCTAGTAAAGTATAACACAGTAGTCGTAAAATGTTGACATTTCTCCTTTCTGACTGTATTGTGTTTTGGTGTGTCTTTGCAGACGTCACAGAGAATATTTGCCGGCAAGTCTTCGGAAGTCATTGAAACCACCCCCACAACGCCTTATACAGTAAAGTGATAAAACTGGCAAAGACAGAAAAAGCCGTGTGCGCCGTCGTTGAGTAAAGCAAAACAGTCAAAAGAATGCTCAGATTCTCTCAGTCAACGACACGTCAAAAAAGATTTGAGCCCCAAACTGCGTCTGTCTCCAGTAAGACCAGAGAGGACTTTCCCCGGTCAGGGAAACTGGGGCGTATATCTGTGTGAGGAAGTCAGCTCACGTGAGTCCGGGGACAGAGCCGAGAGAGATCTGGAGTGTCTGGAGAGAAGAGAACATCGAGGGCCACTAGAAGCAGGACGAGCCGAGAGCCGGTGAGTGTCAGATTAGTTTCATCAACGACGTGCGCGTGCGTGAGTCGCCTGTGGCAGCATTGCCTGGGGAGGTCGCGCGCGCCACCAGTTAATTCCCGGAAACCAGTCGTCGGCAGCTGTGTGACGGCCGGCAGGCCCCCCTGTGGCGGTGTTCCCCTCCATGTAAATACCGTCAATTAAGACCCGGGTACTTTCCCCGGGGAGGAAAGGCGTGTCTGTAGCCCCTCTCTGACCAGGACTTGAGCTCGAGGAGTTGCTTCCCCTGTGCTTTATGAAGGAGGCCGTTCACGCTAAGCGGATCGCGGCCAATCAACGTCTTTCAGCACGAGTGGACTCTCTCGGGGCTGGGAGTGCACTGCCCGGGATTGGGGACATTCGAAGGGCTAGGAGAAAAAGAAGAAAAGGAGGGAGAAACAACAAAGAGTGAGTGTGAGAGAGAGAACGATTAAGATCCACAAAAAAAGCGCGGAGAGAGGAAGTGAGAGGAAGAAACAGAGAGTAACCATTGGACTCGTGAGATGGTCACCACCACGTGTTATGACCTCCATTGTCAGCTGTGGCTGGTAGGATTTGCTCACGCACACAACAAACACTCCTGTTCTCGTCAACTAGTGTGGCCACTTTCTGGTCGCACCGTTAAATATAGCATCTCTTCGTCTTCCCCTGTCGCCAAGACCGGGAACTCCCGAGTCTCTGTTTAACACTGTCTCGCTGACAGATCACCGCAAAATGGATTGGGAAAACAATAACACAGAAGCCCAGGGGAAACCCATCACGTCACCTGATCTCCCCCGGCAGGCAGCGAGGGCTCACACTGTTGTGGAACTACGCTACGCACCTCTGGACATGAACGCCAACCCACAGTTGTGTAGGACTGACCCGGGGTCATGTGGGTTCACCCGATCTACCCCTAGCGTCACGTGGCTTGGGCAGAGCACCCCACTCAATTCCGACTTTCCCACTCAAGTCACGGAGTCTCCGATGAGCTTTGAGTCCCAGAGCAGATCGGATGGCCCACCGCAGGGCATCGATTCCCAATCAGTGTTTCGATCCGTTTCTGGCATCTCCGGTGTTGTGTCGGGCCCGTCCATCGTAATGACCAGCTCGCCTCCCCTAGCTCCGGTCATCCTTCTGTCCACGGCCGACTTGGATCCCTCTCTGAGACATCAAATCGATAATTTCTCCACGGATCAGCAAGCGAAGGGAATAAATAACAGTAGGGTGGCCCCTAGTTATGCTGGTCTAGTGGGCCGCGCGGGGTCTGGGGTCGTGTCAGGGGGTCGGCTGTCTTCACCAATCTGTGCCAACTTGCAAGAGGCAGGGGGAACGTTCACCATCACCACAGACCCGGGACAGGCGACCTCGCGGGTGAATCAACACGTCGCAGATAGACGGACGAGTCCCAACTCACATATTACATCCTCCCCTTCGCCCCCTTCCCCGCCCCCTGGCTTGCCCTTATCCCGTGACGGAAACGCTGCTAGTGTGTTCAACGACAATACGGAACGATGCTACGGGAAAAAGATAGAGGAAATAACGGGGCGAGTGTCGGGCAATTTCTCCTGTTTAGACAACAATTTTAACATCTCCGTGAAAAGCGGTCCGGCTCATGGAATGACGGCAGCGCTCAAATCCAATTCCAGGCCATTTACCGGGGAAACGTTCGCTCAGTCCGCCGGCGCTACCATTGAGGAGGCCATACAGTTTAGCGGGGAACGGTCCCTCTCGACAAACGGAGCGGCTGAGAACGAGGCGGGTGGCGTAATGGACGAGAGTAGTTCCCTGGTAGAGAGAGTTCCTCTCGGCCTGAGCGCTAGTGCTAGAAAGGATCAGGCCGAGTCGTCTTCTTCCTCGGCAATCAGATGGTTGACTCTTGACACAGGGGCGAGATCCGCCACACGCGATTCTTCTCTTACATTTCAAACTCACGGCAAAAGTGAGGCGGTAGCAACCCCGCCCGACTTGGCGCGGATTGGTATGTCTACAAGGGTAGTCACTCACGTAGGACGAAGCCCCAGTGGGAAATTTAGAGAGGACGACCACAAGCCTAGGGTTGTCATGGAGAATTGCTCTGGGAACGGACATTTAGATATGGAGGTAGACGAGATGACGCCTGTGGACGAGCCCCCGAGTGCCCACGTGATCACACAAGATCTTAAAGGATTGGGTGGCAGGGGTCAGAGTTCAGAGCAGCAATCCATGCTGTACCAGTCTCTTGTCAACGGAGCGACTAGCTCGTGCTTTAAGAGGCAAGAATCCCAGGACAGCTGTAGTACGAGTCGTTTCAGTCGTAGCAACAGTTTACCCATGTCCAGTGAGACTAGTAGATCTACGGTTATGACGTCTAGAAACCTGGTCAATAGCCCGAATGGTGGGGTATCATACGCCACCTTCAAAACCATCAGTGTGACGCCTGTGATTTTAGAACTAGATGTAGGTCAGTCGATCTGTCTCAGTGAAAGTGCACATGTGACTAATACCGAACCATCGGAGAGACTTGGCAATGTGGTGGCCTACAGAAAACCGGCTGTGGTCAGTGCTAGCAGATTCCAGGCCGTGTCAGGGCCCACCGGGGGGAACATTTCACCAACAGTTCAACAAACAGTCAGCCTCCATCCAGATGGGAACTCCAGGCAATCGAGCCATCAGGTAAGATTGTACCAAACGACTGTGACGAGAACAGACAGCAAGAATGCACCACACTCAGAGGAGAACTCAGTGGAGAGCAATGCTGACCGCCGTGACCCGTGCGACAAACGATGGCAAGCGCAGCCCGCGCGAGCTACACTCGTTGGCCAGTCCCCGTCAGCTTTCCGTGGCCCTTCCTCTGGTGACAGCTCCTCGTTCCTCAGAGTTGCCGGTCTCACGGGATACAAGACCACCGTGTCTGTAGATAAATCCCCAAGCGAACCCTTACGACGGGTGTCTCCTCTGGCCCAGAACGGGAGTGGCGACGTGGAGGACGCACACAGAAGTGGCACAACTCTTGTGACGTTTGGAGCGAGACTTGTAGCCCCACCAGAAAAACTGTGTCCCGCTACCACTAGCGAAAAGGATTGTCACAGTCACCTGGGACGGCTGCTGGCGTCTGGTTCGTCTAGAGATATTGAAACCACGCCCTCTTCGAACTCAAACAGTTCTGAATCTTACCCAGATGAACGTTTCAGAAACTCCCCGCACGACAACGGTGTTATCACCCATCACATTGTGAGAGGGGTCAAAGCAAGTTCCACAACTCCAAGTGTTTCCCAGCGCTCTGGTAAGCTGGGCTCTCTGTACACAGCACGGAGCTCTCCTGTGGTGACGCAAAGCTCTCCTCTCATGTTGCCCGCATCCACGTCATCAACGTCACCCCCCTCATCGTCATCTTCGACGTCATCCATGTCTCCCATGGAGACCTCTGACCAGGATCTCGACAATTCTCCGTCTACCTCTGGGGCACCCCATCTGAGTGCCAGGCACAATCTGCCTCCTCAGATCAGATACCAGCATCACAGCCACAGGCAGCAACTGCGACGGCAGCAAACATCGCTAAAGCAGCACCACTGGCACCAGCAGCAAGAACATCAGCAGTTGCAACAACATGAAGAACACCAGCTGCAAGAACACCAAAAACAACGGCAACAACAACAACAACAACAGCAACAACAACAACAACAACAACAGCAACAACAACAACAACAACAACAACAACAACAACAGCAAAGAGAGCAGCAGTACCAACAACGGCCAGTTCGTCCCTTTCTGCCGTGTAATTCTGCCAAGCGTCAAATAAACCTGTCCACCCCACCCCCTGGAGCCTTTTCACGCCTCTCCCCCACCTCCCGCTCCCCTCCACCCCCACGACCATCTTCTCCCTTGCCCTCCCCTGTACCGCGCATCTTTTTCACAGATATTCCCACCAGCCCGTCCCCAACCCCAGCCTCTTCGCAGTCACGACACGCCACAATTTCTACAACAGCCTTTTCTACAACTTCAGAACCGCTGCCAGCTTCCCCCAACACGATAACAACAACAAAAGGGCAGTCGACCAATCAGGACTTACATGGTCAAGATGCGATGACCACTACTTCTTGGACATCGTCCCCTCAACCACCACCACCACCACAATCTGAACCACCACAAGCACTCCCACAACCACCTCCACCGCCACCACCGCCACCACCGCCACCACCGCCACCTCCACCACCCCCTCCTGGTCAGCTGCAAACATCGTCGGCATTAGGCCCACCTTCATCGCCGCCGGACGCATCGACACCATCCTCAGCAGCGACAGCGACAGCTTCGTTAACAACAACAACAACAGCAACAACAGCAGCCACAGCAACAGCACTATCACCTGTTACGAACACTGCCTCACCCCCTCCCCAGGAGATCAGTGGAGTAGACACAGGCAGACGACTGAGGGTCAGAAACCAAAGGTCAGTCATTGTTCTGTCACGTACTTACACATACCTTTTTCACTGTCCTCTTTCTTCTTTCTATCTTTATATGCCTTCCTCATTCGTTCCCGTGTCCATCCTTTCACGTGTAAAGTGGTCACTTGCATACCCTTTTCAATCTGTCTTTTTAGTGTAATAGGGTCAATTGCATACCCTCTTTACTAATCTTCTTCTTGTCTCCTTTTTTGTCGATTTTCTGTACCGTCTTTTCTATAACTGTTCTTTTCTTTCTTATTTAGACCCAGTGTTTTCTTTCTATACTTTAGATTTTTAACCTTGCTGATTATTATAATTTATCCCGCTTCGTTCCTTGCCCTATGAACGTTTCGTACCGTCACCGTATTACGAGTGATTTGACAAGTCCCCTGCGGAAATTAAATGTATGAATCTACAATCATTTCTTGTACCATAACCTCAGCGCTCGGGCTCCTCGTCAGCTGCTGCTGCATATTGTTCCCGATCGCTCTTCTGGAAGTTGTGCTTTTTTGTCATTTTGCCCATGAATCTGTGAACTCCGCAAAATAAAAGGGAGTCATTTCGACTCTTTTCCCGTTTCAGGGGGAACGTTATCGTGCAATCCATGTTCGATACTGTCCTGGTTTGCCGAGACCATGGTCTTCTACACCTGTTGGGAAACAAAACAAAGCAAAACAGGGTGGGTGGTTGGCCAGTGCTTTGGTGTGGTTTGCTCCTTCTTTCCTATCAAACATCTATCGTCATTATCTCCCCTCCTTCCTTTTTTGTATAACACCTCTAATCTTCGGCACTTATAGGACCTTATTGTGCTGCAAGTGCCGCAAAACACTTACTAAAACTAAAAACAAAACAGGACAAAACCAAACCAAAAGGGGGAGGGGGCGTTAGGAATATGTGTTCCTCTTTCCCGTTACAACAAATGTTTTTGTTTCGCCCCAAAGACAAACAGTGGAAATTGTTCCGTCATAAACATAGCCCCTGGCTCTGGACACATCTTTGCTTTGGCGGCCTTTGCTTTCCGCTAATATTGACGAATAATCAAATTTCCGAGGTAAACGTTTGCTCGTCACTATTGGTGACTAAATACTTTTCTTTCTCAAAACAAGCTTTTCTTTGGTCTGTGACCTCTCTCTCTCTCTCTCTCTCTCTCTCTCTCTCTCTCTCTCTCTCT